AGTCAAACCAAGGAGACATGCCAGGAGCAAGATCTCAAATGCTTCCCAAAATAAGTTTTTGCAGCTTCTTTTATGTATTTGAGATTAAGGAGGAATGTAAGGATTACAAGGACATGGGAGAAAGGAAGGTGGGGATTGGATTACAGTGTACTTAACAAGATTATGTGCTTCCTTGAGGGTGGTTATGTCTTATTTCAGCTGCACTTACCCTAGATGCACAGAAACAATGGACAGAGCTTATTTAAGGCAAAGATAAAGCTGTTTTTTTCAAATCCTGACCTGAAGTCATGCTTATTGATTTTAAAGAGAGGGGAAGGGAGGGAGAAAGAGATGTAGAGAAACATCCATGTGAGAGAGAAACATTGATTGGTTGCATCTCACACACACCCAGACCAAGGATGAACCTTCAACCCAAGCATATGCCCTGATCTAAAATTGAACCTGCAACCTTTCAGTTTATATGACAATGTTCCAACCAAGTGAACCACGCTGGCCAGAGCCAAAAATAAACCTTTCACTAAAAAGTTGTAAGCCTAGATGTGACTATCCACCATGACCTGCCCAGCAAGAATTTATGATCAGATCACATTGGTAGGGATACCTTCCTAGACCCCTTTTTTGTTCACAATGCCCCATTTTGGTCATAAATCAATCCAAGGGATGCATTGATAACCAAACTTTCGGTCAGATCATCTGTCTAATTAGCAATTGGCTTCTTTCAAACTGTACCACAGAGGTCAAAATCAACATGGTAAATACTCTGATTCATGGTGTTGTGATAATCCATGGGGGTCTAGAGTTAAAATTGTACATTAATATTAGCAGAGTTCTTGGAGCCAAGTGCTCAACAAAATAGCTTCTCTGTTCAAGAAGAAAGTACATTTCAAGAGAAGGTCTTCTGTAAGAGTTCAGTAAAAACAACAGAATTTTAAATACTATTTCTGAAAGATTTTCCTCTGTGGGCATAGGAATAGAAGGAAGTTGGGACAGAAGAAAGTTGATGGCTACTGGGAAAGGAGGGCGGGACTGGAAGGAGGGTCAGGCCCTTGTGACTTCTGCTTCAATGGAATTCATTCATTCGGGTTTTTTTTCCAATCATAAGAAAAGTTTATTTAGAAAGTCACAGAGGTAGAAAAGGTGAGCCAGCAGGACAGAGTGGGCTCAGGAAATAAGTTACAGAGGCAAAAGTGGGGCCCTTGGAGCTTCGGAGAGAGAGGGGCAAAGGAAACGTGCCTGGAGGGAAGGAAGAAGGGAGGGGCAGGTGTGGGCACACTCCAGAGAAAGTGTACTGCGTTCACTCATTTTTTAAAAAAGATTTTATTTATTTTTAGAGGAGGGGAAGGGAGGGAGAAACAGAAGGAGAGAAACATTGATGCACGAGAGATACATCAATTGATTGCTTCTCACGTACCCCCAACTGGGGACCTGGCCCACAACCCAGGCATGTGCCCTGACTGGGAATCAAACTGGCGACCTTTTGGTTCACAGGCTTGTGCTCAATCCACTGAGCCACACCAGCCAGGGCATTTTCTTTAGAGTTCTTCAAAATATATTTTATTGATTATTACAGTTGTCCCAATTTTTCCCTCTTTGCTCCCCTCCGCCTGGTACCGCCATTCCCTCCAGCAATTCCCTCCCTTAGTCCATGTCCATGGATCATGCATGTATGTTCTTTGGCTTCTCCATTTCTTATACTTTCCTTAACACCCCCCTGTCTATTTTGTACTTAATTCCCGCAACTTTTACCCCATTATCCCCCTTCCCCTTCCCAACTGATAACCCTCCAAATAGTCTCCGTATCTATGATTCTGTTCCCATTCTGGTTGTTTGCTTAGTTTGTTTTTAGATTCAGTTGTTGACAGTTGTGTATTTGTTGCCATTTTAATGTTCATAGTTTTGATCTTCTTTTTTTTACATAGGAAGCTATCTCCCAGCACCCGCCCCCTTGCCAGTCACTTCACTTTCTCCCCTTCTCCCCATATGCCAGTTGTGCCCTTCCAGCTCTCGTCCTGGTGCTGAATCCCAGAGCGGGCAGGTCTGTGTCAGTCCTAAGTCTATTGCAGGCCCTTTAAGAGGAGTCTCTTGAGAATCCTGCAGTTTCTTCCACATCCCTAAACCCCACTGATTTTCACAGCCAGAATTTATGGGGACTTATCTTCCTGGTGCTGGAGCCCTGAGCTAGGTGGTCAGGTGTGGGGCTGGGATGCCTGCCCGGAGGCATCCCTCCCGATTTTTATCTATTGGGTGTGAACGTGGGACTGCCCATTCTGCAGCCTCTCCGGCCTGCAGATCTCTCTGCCCCTCCTACCCATCTGGGTGAATGTGGCTGCTTTAAATCCCCTGTTGATGGACTTCTACACAGCTCGATTTCCTGACAAATCTGGGTGATACTTGTTTTATAGTCTGGTTGTAATTTTTGCTGTAGATGTGCATAGAGGCAAAGTGTGTTTATCTACACTTCCATTTTAGCAGGAAGTCATTTTTTTTGAGAGTTTCAATAAGAGTTTAATTGGGCCAAACTGATGACATACACCAGTGAATGAGATCTTAAATGCTCCTCACTCATTTTTTATTTAACAACTATTTACCATGTGTTCACTGTGGTGCCAGGCCCTGTTCTGATGCTGGGGATACCGCAGTGAATCAGACAGACAAGAGTCCTGCCCTAAAAATAAGTGGACTGGGAGCCGCCGGCGCCTTCTGGAGACAGAGCAGAGCTTTCCAAACGTGCGGCTTTGATGAATCGAGGGGGTCCAAGTGTAGGGCCTTCCCCAGTGGGTTCTGATTCTACCACCTCCCTGGCCCTACCCCGCTCCCACCCTTTCTGTCCCCAGCCCCCAGTGTGACAATTGGATTGATTGTTCTAGTCCCAGGGGAAGGGATTCAGTGAGGAGCACAGATGGTAGGTAGAGGATGACAGTGCGCAAATGCCACTGCTTGCTGCCCACACAGGCCAGAAGGGGGACTGCGAGGTACTCACCCAACACGCGCTAAAAGGAGACACGCTCTGCAGGTCTAGCCCTGTTTTCACACAGACAGTACTCTGTGCCCTCAAGTGATTTTCAGGCTTTGACATTAGATTAGATTGTTCTTGGTTTCTTCTTTTTACTCTTCTGCATTGTGAAATAGGACACATGTAGAAAAATTCATAAAACATAAATACAAATACCCATCCATGTAACCACTCAAGGAATAAAATAGTGCCAGTACCCACAGAAAGCACCTCCCTCTCTGCATGCCTCCCCAGTCTCCATCCTTCTCCTGACTTTTATGGAGTTCTCTTCCTTGATCTTCTTAATTGTTTTACTACTTAACATATGCGTGGATTTTGTTTCATTTGTCTGTTTAATAGCTCAGAGTCATTCCAGGTCTCGTCTGATAAATATGGTGGGAGACCATTTTATCAAAGCAAAAAGTGCATGTTCCGAAGCAACAAGGAGGGTGATGTTCTGCTTCATGAGAACCAGGCATACTGAAAGAAACCCCAAATGCTGTGTGCTGACAACGTCACTGTACGGACTTTGGTCATTTGGACACATGGATTCCGATTCCCCTATTCACCTGTTGATCTCGTTATTTCAGAGTCCTACCTAACAAGTAGCCTTGCCCCGTTGAACTACGTTTTTCCAACTTTTATCTGTTTTGATTTTTCTTTGAAGCAGCCCTTAGTGATCATCCCCTGGAGACACTTGAGAAGAAGGCCTGTGTTCACTTTGTCCCAGGCCTCTCCACAACACGAGTGTCCTCTGTGGGAAGAGTTCCCCAGGAGTGGGAGAGCGTGGAGTTCCGTTCTGGGGGAAAGGCTATGAAAACTGGAAAATTTTCCCCTCAGGGTTTTCTGGCCAAGAACTTACTGCCTGTCCATCTAGAGTGGTGTGGGTTCGACCTTCCCTGCTAATGGAAGGATGGACAAGGGGCCACTCCAGCTTTGCAGTGGCCTCTTCCAGTCTTTGTTGGGTGAGGTCCAGTCCCTCTTCATTTTTATAATACAAGAATGAACCAAATAGACAATTAATTGTTTAGAACAGAATTAACATGAGCTTAGTGGGTCAAGCATTGCCGAGGTCTGTATAACACCCACAAATGAATGGTCGGTGAGAACATTTCACTTAAATCAAGATCAACATGTAAGGCCCCCATGGAAATGGTTAGACTAAACTTTAAATCTATTATACAAAATATAAAACTGAAGGAAAAAACTCTGAAAACCTAAGGCATTATGAAGTAGTAATAGCAAAGAGGATTAAAAATCGAAAATAATTAAAAAACCCTTTATTGTCTTACCTTAAATGATTATAGAGATAACAGATTTTTTAAGAGTGAAAAGGAACTTGAGAGTCCTTAAACATCATCCAATTCATCTTCGTCATTTATAGAAAAGAAGTACACAACAGTTCAAATGTCAGATTAATTTCTCTAATAATATTCGCATAAGCTAATAATCAGTTGAATTTCCACTTCCCAGTGACACGCCACCTGATGTGGCCACGACGCAGACTAGAGACAGACCACACAGTAGGTCACTCACACAGAAGGCACAGTGCGTGGTGGCAGGAGATTTTGGGTTGGCGCTTGAGCCCGGGTCGGGCACTCAGAGTCAGCGTAGACGCCGAGTAGGCACTGATCGGCAGGGTCACCATCCTCCTGTGAGGACTGTGATGTGTAATTCCCAGGGACGGGAACTGGGTTCCTGGCTCAGCCTTTGTTTTGGGTCTCAGCACCACGAGCACTGCTGCGTGAGCGAGAAAGCAGGCTGGTATCAACTCAGCCCCCACCGAACAGTGTGTGAAAAGGTCAGTGTGCCTGCGGAGTTTACAGGTACTCTTGCAAGTCTCCCAACGTGATAAGAAAATAATGTTTTCAAACATTTGTTTTGTCTTGTCATCTAGCCCAAAGGTGATGTCATATAGACACTAATGGCTAGTTTGGCGTTTTAAGTAATTTATTAAAACTTTTAGTCATGATATTAATTTTTCCATCTTGGTAATATTTTTTTACAGGCTCAGAAAAAATGTTTGAATCAGACTTCGCCCATTTGTGCTTCCAAGACCCCAGACGGCCTGCGGCAAGCACAGATTCCTGGTCTCTTGAGCACCGCACTGCCAGGTCAGGGGCCTCCCCAGCTTGTCCCTGTCCCCCCAGTACTCAAGGACACACCTCCCACACCCCTCCCTCTGCCTCAGTCTCCCTGACTCAGTCTCACCTCTACTCCGATCACTTCTTTTTTCCAAGTCCTTTCCACGTGGTGTCTGTAGCACCATTCTCTGTACTACTAAGCAAGTGAAAAGCACTTCTAATTAAGTTATGATGCATTAAATTATATGAAAAAAGTGTGCTGCTAGAAACAACAGAAGTAGTGTTATATGCACAGGTGACTCTGCGATTGTCCTCATGTTGCTTTATGTACATGTATTTAGAATCCCTCTGAGACTAAAACACTGTAGGCTTTGTCTCCCGTTTTTTCGAAAGCTTTGAACACCTGCATTGCTCCATGAGTGCTAGAAAGACAAAAACTTGAGCACTCCTAGTCAGTCCCCTAATTGGGCCTCCTTTCCTTAAGTTGTATGTTGGGTCTTGGTAATACTGACAGATTACTGGCTTGAGGCCTATTGCTCAGACCTTATATAATTTGAAACTGCAGCATTGGCAGCTTTTATTTATTTATTTCTACTCCTTACCTAAATAGCCTTTAATAATCCTCACCTCTGCCTCTAGAGCTTTCAAAGATAAATGAACTTTCTGCTCTCCTAATCACATCAAGCATCCGTGATAAAGACGTCCCTTTTGGAATGTTCCACCCTCTGCAAACAGTGGACTCGAGGGTCATACGATGAGCCTGATTTACTCTTTCTGTTGAACATTGTCTTACGTGTTAATTCTAACAGGGCAGGATTCTGGAAGCAAAGCTATACCAGCGTCCTTAGGAACCACACAACCACAGCAGGAAAAAGTTGGATCGCCGGCTGGCCAGCCCACGGTGCAGGTAGAACACAGTTTACATGGTTTCTTCTTAATGTTCAGCGTAATGGAGAGAAAGTGTCCTTGTCATCTTCTGTTCCGTTGTCACTGCCCAGTATTGCCTGCACAGTCAGCCCGGTGCCGGTGTGTCTGTATAGATGTGCTCACTGAAGCCTCCCCGGCAGTCTGGGCCTTGTTGTTAACATTTGTGGGATGAAGGTGTCCATTCTGTTTGCCACATGTTTACAGTGCTATCATTTTCTCACAAGTTAATAATATACCAGCAGCCACCACATAGTAGGCATTCAAAAAATGTAGTTTACTGTTGAATGTTATCACTTATTATATCAAAAGTGAATCTGTTCCTCATACTGAGAAAATGTTATTTTCTGCAATAACAACCAGGAATGTTTGAAGTAGTCCCTATGGGCTTTCAACTCAACCACTGATCTAAAAAGCAAGGGGAGCCCTGGCTGGTGTGGCTCAGTGGGTTGAGTGCTGGACCACTGGTTTGATTCCCAGTCATGGCACATGCCTGGGTTGCAGGCCTGGTCTCCAGCTGGGGGCATGTGAGAGGCAACTGGTCCCTGTTTCTATCATTTCTTTCGCACATTGATGTTTCTCTCCCTCTCTTCCCCTCTTTCTAAAAAAAAAATAATAATAAAATCTTTTAAAAAATAAAAAGGAAAGGGGAAAAAAGTTTGGTTTTCAGCTTACTGAGGCAGTGATTCTTACTGGCATGTGGCAAGAATTGTTAAACACGCAGCACCTGACTACGTAGTCAGGGGCTCTAACCTCTGTCCCCTTAGACTGTAAAATGAAAAAGTGACAACAGCCAACACAACAATAGTTGTCCGGTTTGAGTAAATCAAAATTACACCTGTTTTTTGGGTTTTTTTTTTTTTTTGTCAGATTGGCAAAAAATACATTTTTTGGTGTGCCACAGAATTTTACTAATTAGTTTATGTGTGCCATGAGATGAAAAAGGTTGAAAATCGCTGTGCTAAGGCCTTAGTTACTTCTCCATCAAACTGAACAATTAATAGTTTAATCAACCTGTTATAATCTGGGCCTGCCTGGACCACTCAGTGGAGGATCTGGTTCAGTTCTCAGGTTCTCACGCAGGCGAATTTGTTTCCTTAACATGACATGGAAATGCCTACTAGATTACATACCTAACTGTGTGAAACAGGAGCTCAGAAGTGTTTGTTCCCTTATTAACCACTGAGAAAATGAATTAGGTGATTATCTGTTGGATTTTCAGACGTTCATGGAGTTGGTATCCAAATATTCTTCTTCAAAAATATAACGATACATTTGCAGAGGAAGCTGGGGTTGGGCTTTACTGTCCAAGCCAAGTCGTTCCAAGGAACTGATAGGACAGCTTCCTGTAATCTCGACACAGGGCAGCTTCACCGCAGGGGTCTGCAGACTTGCTTGTTTACTTTTTTAGCAGGCCAAATTCAACATTGTTAGGACATGCTCTTGACAGGGAGCCGAAAGTATTCAAAACACAGTGACCTTTATGTGTAACTGTATTCTGCTTATTTTTTCTTCTTGTCTTTTTTAAAGATTTTATTTACTTTTAGGGAGAAGGGAAGGGAAAGAGAAAGAGAGGGAGAGAAATATTGATTTGTGAAGGAAATGATAGAAACAGGGATCAGTTGCCTCTCGCACACCTCCAACTGGGACCTGGCCCGCAACCCAGGCCTGTGCCAACTGGGAGTTGAACCAACTGAAAAGCACCAGCATTTCAGTTTTAAGGCTGGTGCTCAACCCACTGAGCCACACCAGCCAGGGCTATTCTGCTTATTTTTTCACTGAAAGGGAATACTAAGAGGTGTGTTTTGTGTTTAGGTGGACGGTCATCCGGGAGGACAGAAGAGGCCTGCTGCAAAACAACTCACTAAGGGAGCTTTGTGAGTGACCTTGGAAATGACCCATTTTGAACATTTCTCTAGGTTCCTAACCTTCAGTACTTACACAACAGAAGTCAGGTTATAATAAAATATATAATATTTTTAAAAATATTCTTTAAAACTCTTTTCCTATAGTTTGTCTCCATTAAGACTGATAAATACCTCAAGTGTAGTTTGAGCCTATTCTTTGCTCTTTTGTTCTTCAGGAGAAGAGCTTTTTAGGACACCATGCACCCTTCGGTTGGCCAAAAGCGCGTGGTTTGGTGCACTCCTATGATCAGAACAGAAATGTTAGCATAAGCTTAGTTGGCCGATGCTCAGGCATTGCCAAGGTCTGTGTGAGTCCCTACACGTGAGTGGTTGGTGGGAACACTGGGCTTTTGAGGCCAGGGCCACAGTTTGAGTCGCCTGAGGGACGGTTAGACCAAATTCTAAACCCACCCTGGTATACAAAGTATAAAACTGAAGAAAAACAGAACCACTACACTGTCAAGAATACCAGCTCTGTGTGTCCCTCTCTCTCTTTGCATGCAGAGGATTCGATTTCTTAATAGGACTCCCACTGACATAAAGTCTCTCTTTCACAGCATTCTCCAGCAGCTACAGAGGGACCAAGCCCACGCGGTGACGCCTGATAAAAGTCAGTTCCAGTCACTGAGTGACGCAGTACAGCGGCTGCTCTCCTACCACGTGTGCCAGGGCTCCATGCCCACTGAGGAGGACTTGAGGAAAGGTAGTCAGACTGTAACCCCAGAGGCCCTTTGACCCCAGGCCCCTCTGAGAGCTCCCCACAGGAGAGGGAGAGCCCCGAGCCCCCACATGGTAGCTAGGTCATTGTTTTTAAGGACAGACCTAACTTGTTCCCCGTTTACCCTGTTTCCCAGTCCACAATTAGGGCCGTGACTTACTCTTCTCACTATTCTGTGGGGATACACCAATGTCAGAGTCGGATTTGGGGGGCAATGAATGCAAAGCATTGTTTGCATTGCTGGCTGCAGGTGAGATGGCTCTGAACTGGGTACTCACAGTGATTTAGGCATAGTCCTGTGTTTAGACAGAATGCGTGCCCTTAGCTCTTAATACCGGTTGTATGAGTTAGACCGATCCTTCAGCACCCAAAAGCACTCTTTGAGGTTCCAAAGTGAGTCAGAGGATTGCTGTATGTCAAGAAACTGGCCAAAAAAGGTTAAGGATAAAGATCCCAAGCTGGAACTCAGCCCATTCTCATGCCTGGCCCTGCTGCCTCTCCCAGCCGTGCAGCTTAGTTCTACCCTCCTTCCCATCACCATTCCCGGCCCTGACACCGTCCGTTCCCCTCTGCTGCTTCAGTCCTTCCCTCCGCTGCCAAGGGTCTGCTCCCCTGGCCGGGGTCTGATCTGAGTGTCGGGATCTTAGTCCACCATGCGCTTCCCTGGGAGGTCCAGGGAATCAGGTGCAGATCCAGAATTAAACAGGGCTGTGAAGAGTCTGAGAAGAGTGAAGTAGAAAATGTGAGACCTTTGGAGACCAACAGACAAGGACAGAGCCACAGCACCGCAACCTGCGAGATGTCCTGAACTAGTTTGTGTCCTTAGTTAAAGCTGGCCTGCCCAGCCTGGACAGCAGGGCTGCACTGCTGCAGCTGCTCTGGGTTTTTGTGCTGTTGGGGAAGAGTGGAGGCTCACTACTGTTGCTTGTCTGTGTAATATGGTTTTCTTTTATAGGTGATGTTAAAGATACTATCTCTTGGCTTCTTAATTAAAGTTAATATAAGGTAATATCGAAATGACTTTCCATGTTCATAGCGGTGGACAGTGAGGGAAAGTGGTGCAGAAGTATTACGTTTAATCCCAGAAAAGCTACCTCAGGAGAGAAAATTGCACAGATACGACGTGTGTGAACAGGGGAAGAGTAATGCATTACAGTCCTGTCCTAAGGAATGAAAGGCCGAGTGGGTGATATGCACTCTCTGACTGTTTTCTCTCTCTCTCTCTTTTTAAAGTTGACAATGAATTTGAAACAGTTGCCACTCAGCTCCTTAAAAGGACCCAAGCTATGCTTAACAAATACAGATGCCTGCTCCTGGAAGACGCCATGGTAAATTCTGCTCCCAAGCGTGTTTGTTTATTACACTCTACAGGTCACAGCTACCGATTCAGAGAGAGAGACTCCAGGGAACCGCATTTTCCCAGCATAGTTTAAAAGGCACAGATACTTAAGTATGTGGAAAACCTTACACTTGACTGTCACTACCGCTAACAGCAGCTAACAACTATGGCACTGTACATGGTCGATCACCATCAGTGCTGGGGTGGTTGTTCCTGTATAAACGAGGGGCCTAAGGCTTTGGCTAAGTAATTCTCCCAAGATCATATAGCCAGTGAGCTTGCTGGGTAACTAGCCCAGCCAGGATGCAGACCAGGGCGCCTGACCCCCGGTCCACACACTCGCACGCTCGCTGGGTGCTGCCTGTCACCAGCCCAGAGACGTGGGAGAGGGCTGGGGCACAGCAAGGGATGGTCGTTCCAAGTGACATCTGAGGAGACTGGATGATGGCAGTGTTAGCATTGACTTTGTCCTGTTTTTAACTGTTAACATGCTATAAAATTCACACTTAATTTTCCAATGTATAACTTGATGGTTCTTAGAATATTCACCTGATTGTGCAACCATTGCCACTGTCTAATTCTGGAATATTTTCATCACTTCATATAGGAACTAAAATTGGTTTTAAAGCACTAATTCATTAGAGAAAGGAGTAAGATACCTCAGGAAATGATGGAGAGACCAAACCTGTTCTGAGATTTTACAAACAGTTCTAAAATCATATGAGCTTCAACCTATAATAAATTTGTCTCTTACAAGTGGTTTTCAATTTGCGATCAGCTTCGGACATGTGCCGTGGGGGACTAGTGGTATACCTTATACACATACACGCTGTCATGTAAATATGTATTATGTGTGTTTGTGTTTATTTAAATGTATATATTTTTACTTAAAATGATGGCTCCAAAGTCTGCAATAGTTGTTCTTATATTGACAACCATGCCTAAAACAAAACTCTGAGACATCAAGAAGACTATCATTTCTGAGGAGAAGACCAACCACTTATGTGGTCAAATTGTATCTGCCATGAGTTTTCATGTTAAATAAGACCCAGAGATATAATTTAAGATTTGATTCTGTACAGCAAAAAATAATTTTAAGGAAAGCTTTAATAAAATAAACAGATTAAAACAGAGTATAAAGTAAAAGGTCATTTTAATGAAAAGATTTCCAAAATATTATCAGAAGGGGAAGCAAGGAAGGTACCAGAATAGTGTGTATTATTGCTACCATTTGTGTGCAAAAAATACAAAAACAAACAGAAAAAAAAGAACATCCATGCGCAGATGCACGACATGTCTGTGGAGTAGGTTAGTGAACTGTTAGGCATGGGTGCCTCCAGGGGGTGGGGGTGGGGAAGTGATGCACAGGTGGGCCAAAGAAGACAGGCTTACTTTTCACGTCCCCTTTTTGAATTTTGTACCAATGTGTAAATTATCTTTTCCCAAAAAAACCCACAATTTAAAAAAATGCATCCTAGGTAGCAAGGAAAAATATGACTACATGGGACACGACTGAACTTAAACATTGAATTCTCATTTCTGATCACTCCCACTGTTCCAAAGGTGCAGGGAGATGTTTGCACTTGTTAAAAGGCACCGGGGGGAAAAAAAAGAAAAAAATGAAAATAAAAAAGGCACCTGAAATGACTGGACTCTCTTACTTTCAGCGGATCAATCCCTCTGCTGAGATGGTGATGATCGATAGAATGTTCAACCAGGAGGAAAGAGCATCTCTGTCCCGAGACAAGCGCCTGGCACTGGTGGACCCTGGTAAGGCGCGGGGAGAAGGCAGAGGAGCGCTCCCGCTGGGGCTCGAGGCTGCGGGCCTTTGGGGAGTCCCTCTGAGCCCACCTTCAGTATGAAACTGAAGATAGACTATGAATTCTGGGGGGCAAAAACTCGGAGTTGAGAGCAGGATATGAATGCTCCAAAAAGGTCTATGTTCTAGAGAATCCAAACTAGAATTTTACATTCAGTTTAGTGATTATTTTTCCCCATTGTAAACTCAAACTGCTCAATCGTTCTCTAATTTTTGAGAACTAAATTAAGTCCAAAGCCCTCCCAGAAGCAATTAAACCTCAGCAAATTATTGAGTTATCTTACTATACAGATGGCATTGTTAGAGGGAAAAATGAGTAAAACGTGGTCCCTGCCCACAAGCTGTAGAATTGTGATGTAATTGTAACTTAAGCACTTTTCTCTCACCCGCCAGCTTCCTGCTCCTGCTCAGTGTACACCTGTTAGAGTCAACTCGCATTCTGCCTTGTAAAAATGAAATCTCTGTACTTTTTTCTAGCCTCTACAATTATTTAAGTCAAATAACATTATAACAATTAATGCATCATAGATTTTACCCATTCTTTCACCATCTTATAAAAGAAATGTATTTATTCTCCAAATTTTCTTCCAGTTCTGGTTCTGGTTCCCATTTTCATGTATCATTTATATGTAGTTATATTCATATGTCACGTGCTAATTTTACTCTAATTTTCTTCCATTTAACCATCTGAAGTTTTTGTCATTTGCTAAAGTCTTTAAAATAATATTTAATAAATTTTAGTGTATAAATTTAATACTTAACTAATCCATTCCCCTATATTGGACTATTATAGTAAGTTCTCACTTAATATCTATAATTTCTTAGAAACTGTGATTTTATGCAAAACTAGTCTAAGGAAACCAATTTTACCATAGGCTAATTGATATAGAAAAGGAGTTATGTTCCTATGGCATATTTCTGGTCACAGAAACATCAACTTCTAAATAAAGATCCAAAAACACTTCTACTATTAAACACTGCAATAAATGTGAGCTATGTATGTGTTTAAGAAAGATTAATAAAAACAAGGTGATTCCTTTCCAACCCTGGGCAGGACACTCTTCCACGGTAGGACATCATATGCACACTCAGGGTCACTGTAGACACCCAGTCCGCGTCACGTGCATGCCTTTGGGGTTGGGGAGGAAGCCAGTGTCCCCAGAGGAAACCCCCATCAGACACAGGGAGAAGGTGCAAAGTCCACATGGACAGCAGCCCCGGCAGGGAATCAGGTTTTTACGTTCATCAGTGATGCAGAAAAGTGTTGAACAAAACGGTATTTGAGGACTGCTGTGTTTTCCTGTGGCTCTACTCCCATTCTACTAATGTCTTTCTGACACTTAAAGACTAAAGTTCTGCCTTGTTTGGTGTGGCTCAAGAAATGTCCAAAGAGAACGTACAGCCCTTGCGCTCGGTCTAAAGGAAAAGTCCAACAGAATTGCTGTGTACCTAGAAGAATCCTCAAATCTTTCCAGAAAGGAAGGGAACACTGTAGGATAGATTTCTGACCTTCTTCCTCAGAGCCTGAGCTCTGTTGTGTGTTGGTGAGCTGAGTTTGCAGACAAAGCCCCCACTCTGAGTCAGCCCCTCAGGCATGAGCTCGGCCTGGGGCTTCGTCCCCCTCCGTGTTGCGCCAGCACAGCCAGTTGTTTGTTGGGTGGAATCAGCTTTTGAGGTTTCAAGGCTGTATGTGCTAGACCTTTGATTTTGGGACTTGGTGAACAAGTTCATGGTTGTGCGTTTATAGATGTCACCCCAGCCCTATTTCACTTTCATGACTTCAGAGTTAACACTTTCTCTGCCCTTGAGCAATAACTACAGTCCGACTTCCATCCTCTGTAACCTCCCCCAAACCTCACTAACATTTCTCTTGCCGTTGCCCTTGGCTCTTCGAGCCTGGCTCAGCTCAGTGTTTGCTCACAGACACAGTTCCCCACTGTCCTTCCAAGCAGATGTCATTTTGGATCAGTATCGATCTTTGTTTTGTGCTCCTGGCAAAATGCAGCTAATTCTGCCAGGCCCCCTTACGTGTGTCCAGAGTGACTAGAGTGCCATCACCCGAAGATACACCGTGCCCTGCCAAAGCCTCCTTCCAGAGCTCTGTGTCCCAAGGAAATGAACCAGGCTGATACTAGCATCTAATTTCTGTTTTCAGACTGTTTCAAAGCAGTTGGTAATTTAAAAGACTATTTAAAAATAACAGTAAGAGATTAAATCAAAGTGTAGCTTTTTGCCTCTCTAGTTTTTCCTATTGTCATCCAGCAGCTACCTTTGCAAAGAGGTCTGAGCTGCTCATCTGAAGGCTGTGTCCCTATAGCCCTGTTACTTTCATGGGGTGCCCCCTCGATGACTATGCCCCCGCACCTTCTTGGACATGAAAGATTATGTCAGTGGTATGGGCTGGGCTGGAGCAAGATGGCTTTGCACCTGACCCACTGAGGGTCTGTTGTATTGCCCTTACTCTCTCCTTCATTCATTAACATTCTTTTTGTTTCCATTTCCAGAGGGTTTTCAAGCTGATTTCTGTTGTTCCTTCAAACCTGATAAAGCTGCTCAGGAGACGCAGTTTGGCAGGAGTGACCAGCATGGTGGTAAAACAACCAGCTCTCTCCATCTGACGGCCAAGGCCCAAAGCAGAGACCGAGCCAAACCAGGCATGGCAGAACCAGTGAATCATGACCAATTTCATCCAGTGCCTAACCACATCGTGGTCTCTGCAGAAGGAAACATTTCTAAAAAAACTGAATGCCTCGGCAGAGCACTGAAATTTGACAAAGTGGGCTTAGTTCAGTACCGGAGTGCGTCCGAAGAGAAAACCAGCCGGAGAGACACCCTGAAGGGCAGCGAGTGCGCTCCCCTCCCCGAAGGGCCCCGGAAAATCTCGTCGAGACCGGATCATGGTACTGAGAGCAAACTCTCGAGTACACTAGCAGATTCTCACTTGGAGATGACGTGTAACAATTCCTTCCAGGACAAAACTCTGAGGAATTCTCCAAAGAATGAAGTTTTACACACAGACATCATGAAAGGGTCGGGCGAGCCCCAGCCAGATCTCCAGCTCACTAAGAGTTTGGAAACAACATTTAAAAACATCTTGGAACTCAAAAAGGCTGGGCGGCAGACCCAGAGTGACCCCACCATTAGCGGCTCTGTTGAGTTGGATTTCCCCAACTTTTCTCCAATGGCTTCGCAGGAAAACTGCCTGGAAAAGTTCATCCCGGACCACAGTGAAGGCGTTGTAGAGACTGACTCCATTTTAGAAGCAGCTGTAAATAGTATCCTAGAGTGTTAATAGCAGCAGCCCTGCCCCTGCCCCGCCCATACCCCGCCCCGGACACATTAGTCTTTCCTGGCAAAAGCAAATGGAACCGGTCTCCTGTCTCCAGAACTGCTTGATCCTTCATCACAGGTTATCCTTTCTAATCTCAACCCCGTTCTTTGTTTAAGAGCAATACTCATCGTGGTTACAGGGAGATCCTTTCGTAAAATTAATCTTTGTTAGAAAGCAGTCTGACAGGCCCTACACATTTCAAGTGTTCTGAAAGCGCTTTTAGTCTTTTTGTTGTTGTTGTTTACCTGTTTTATTTTTTTAAAAAATACTGTAACTCAATGAGATCACAGTATACTTGGCCCTGGGTAAAGTTCTGACAATCATAAGTCATTTGAAAAGAATAGACTTATTAAAGAAAATCAAATAGGACTGATAGAAGCTACTTTTTAAAGAATTTCCTGCTTTATCTTAAAATTTTGACTTTTGGGGTTTTTTTTGTTGTTGTTGGAGAGGAGACCACAGGTTCTCCCCTTCAGCCATCTCTGGGCAGCAGGTTGCTGGCGGCCCCACCAGGGACCGCTCAGCACGGTGGCAGCACCCAAGCAGGGCATTGGCAGGGCTTCCTCGCTCACTGTCCGAGTGCTTTCCCGATGCTCCTGGAGCACAACCTCGCGCTCTTTCAGCAGATCCATGTTGGATTTCATGTGGGCAATGCTCTGTTCTTAATGACGTGACTTGAGATCATTTCACCAGACTAAATAAAGGAGAATGGAAACCAGTTCATGGCACAGTGTACAGGGGAGGCCGGGATAGAGCCATGCGGAATATACTATGTATATATGTAAAAGCATATATATGTTAACTATTGAGAAAAAACAAGCATTTTACCTTTTATGATTGGATATAGTCAACATACGATGTACGTTTTTGTTTGTTGCTGGGTTTTGTTTCATTTAACCTGTCTTTGCACCCTCTCCCACTGCAAACAGCCAAGTGTCAAAGCACTTTCATTTGAAAGCAATGTTGTAATTTTTCAGTTGAATCCTTAAGGGGACTTTGGCCTTGTTTCTGCTTCTTGTTGTCTGAGAACAGTAGTCACCTCTAGGAGCAATCATTACCAAAACACAAACAAACCAAAGGTACCCAGCCAGCCCACCACGGAAAGGAGAGATTTGAGACGTGGGATTCCCACTTGAGAGCCAAAGGACACGCCCTGTCATGGTTTGTGTTTGGCCTATGTTCATATTAGTGAACATGACTTGTTGCTTTATTTATTTATATTTCTTTTCAGGGAGCTTTCCCCATTTTCCTTTCTTCTGTACCTACCCCAGGTCATCCCATTTCTGTTGTTACTACTTTCATTCTCACTGTCATTGTAACCATCAGTTATGTACTGCCCGTGGGAAAGCTACATAGTGGTGTTTGACCTGTACACATGCATATGTGAACGTGCCTGAGCTGTTCAGATCTGAGGTCATTGTGGTTACAGCATGTGTGCACGCTCCCCCTTCTGCGTATGCACTCTCTCACTAATTCGATCTCTCTGGCTTCAGAGGTGCGCCCACTGGTCTCCACTCTAACACATTGCCAGGATTTGCTTCTGGCTGTCCCGGAATGGGGATGACTCCCATTGTCATCATGTTGGACATTTATCTTACAGATTGCCCTGTGATGGAAAGGAAGGCCTCTGATTACTAGAAAACACAGCAACAGAAGACCTGTACTCTCCCTGCCCCTTTGTCCCTCCGTGCGAAGGCACCCTGTGAGACAGCCAGTCTTCTTGGAAGCGGAGTACCTTCTCCCCACTTCCACCCCCCACCCCCGCTAATAGGAATTGGAAAATCTGGGCCATCCTAGGGTCACCATTTTTTCCTTATTTGTGCCAATGCCCAAGTTGCAGATTTCCCTTTTCCTTTATTGTAATGTGTTAGAAAGATAAGTTGGTGTTGCCAGATGGAACATTCTGTTCGGGCAGTGCTAGGGTAACACCCTGCCCAGAACCCCCGATTTCATAGGCTGTTCTTCCCTTAGGGTTCATACCCCCTCATTCCTAGCAAGACTTAAAGATAGCCCCTCCTGATCAAATTCTTCTCATTGTGGAACTTTATACCTGGAAGCCTTCGTGAAGGCTGCTAATGAGTTACATTAATTACTGCAAATCAGTGGAATTCTTAAGAGACAAGATAAGTTTTGTGTACATTTGTCACACCTCTCCCCTCGCCTGTCCCACTGCCCCGACCCCAGCTTTTCTGTATACCATCCAAAAGGGTTTTTAAGCCCTAACATTGTCTATCAAATGGAGAGCCTAATTTACCAAAATGAAACTTGTAAATTTCTGTGTCCTTGTATGTAAGTTTACTTTTTATGGAGGAAAGATTCTGGATAATGGCAAATGAAGATTACGAAATGCATTTTACTCCTGTGATTAGGTTATGTGCACACAGGTCATAACCTGCATGTCGAGCCCCCTCCAGCAAAGGGTAAGAGAGCTCAGCCTCGGGTGGCCAACATTCAGTTGTTCAGGTTCATAGTCAAAGTTAAGTTTTAGAACTACTTGTACTCAGTAACAAAAATCATTTTCTTTCTTTCTTTTTCTGTTGTTGTGGAAAAGTGTGGATTTGTTATTAAGCATTTGATTTTCTGTGTCCTTAAGTACTGCCTAAAGGTAAAGCAAATTTTAAACTGGCAATTACGAAAAAAGAACTATTTTAGCTCTGAAGAATTTAGTAGACTTTGTTAGATTAGGGAGGCCTTACAGACTGACTTGACTTCAAAGAGGACGCGTCACTCACTGTCAGTGTGGTGTGGGCTTTATTTGCTTAAATACCTTCATTTGTATAGTATGTCTCACTTGAAATTGCTTTGTATACATTTTGTAAAAATATTTATAAAATGTTTTGTAAAAAAAAGTATAACAAATTGCAGTTTATTTTGTTATGTTGGATAAATACTGTTAAAGAAACCAGTCAGTAACTATATTGTTAATCCATGGTTAGGAAATGTTTAGTTGGAGATTACAAAATGAACCAACCATTGCAATACAGCCAAAGATTTGGGAAAATGTGCAACTGTGATTGTCTTGATTTTGCAAGTAGGAATGGCTGCTCTTCCCAGAAGAAAAGGGTAAGTGTTCAGTGTGAGCGTAAAATATGTTTACCATTGCCAAAAAGTAGCCTAACCAGTGAGGGGGTAGAATTTTAATTGACCGGCCTTTCCAAACAGTTGCAAATTAAACAAAGTTGGTCAGTGAGAAAGTGTAACCACATACACCTCTGACCTCCTCCCACTCCTGTCACGGGGCCCTTCCATAGCCAAGGGAGCACGAGTGGGGTCACTGGACAGTTACATCAGGGAGCTTCAATCTGTAGGAAGCTTTCTTCCGTGCAGTCTTGTATTACGTTGTTTCTGCCAGGACAGGAAGGCTAAGGGCTAAATAAAACTGTTTCACGTACTTGTTCCAGAATTAACATGTTTCTCTTTGTAGTCACACCTTTGACCAAATTGTATTGAGAAATGTCTGTAATCTTATCTATAAAATGAGCACCATGAGGCCCTTCTGAGTTCCTGTCCTCACGTGTATGACTCTACCCAGATTGTTAAGTATAACATCAGAGGATGAAATGTATTTCCAGGGGCCTAGAATTCATACTACTGCCCCTTACTTTATGGTTTCATTGCTTCCCCCCACCCTGAAAGCAATAGAAGTCATGAACACAAGATTCAGCAATAATCAATCTATAATATAAATAGGAAGTTGTCCTCATATAACTAACAGAAATTAGAATAATTATTGCAGGAATCGTTACATCAGTGGATGGATCCCTTAATGTCTTTTGCAGTGTTGCCCTAGTGTCAAGCTTCTTTTGCTAAGGATAAATGTGTGTCCATCATGACATTCTTGTCTTCGATCCCTTTGCAGTGGGGGCCCCCCCATGAATGAGTTGGAAGGAAGGGCCACCTGGCAACTTAGTTAGGATCCGTCTCTGTTCCTCAGCGGCAAGCCCAGAGACACCAGGCACTTTCTCTAAGATGGTTAAAGCCCTGTGTGTATGGCCTTGTTTCTGGAGAGGGATCCTTAGTACTCCCTGACGTGGAGAAAGTAGCCAGTAGATTCTTGGAGGTGAAGAGAAGAGGAGAGAAACAAACGCCACCGTCTGGGGATCGCTGAAACTGCACCACTCAAGCAGGACCAGCTGTGCTGTCCTCATGGGACGAAGCTCGAAGCTCCGGCTCTGCTCGGCCCTGTGTGTGCTGGGCACCGTTAACCACCAAACCTCCAGGCAGTCTACAGACATGGGAGATAGATGTGTAATTCAGGACGGATTTCTCTTCTTTTTTGAAGATTTTATTTATTTACTTTTAGAGGGGAAGGGAGGGAGAGAAACATTAGTGTGTGGTTGCCTCTCACACATGCCCAGGGACCTGGCCTGCAACCCAGGCATGTGCCCTGACTGGGAGTCAAACCAGTGACCCTTTGGTTCACAGGCTGGCGCTCAATCCACTGAGCCACACCAGCCAGGGAGGAAGGATTTCTTTTCATGGAGCTCACAGTCTCGAGAGAAAACAAGCAAATAACTACATTACACTTGGGAACTGACTGGGGTTCCACAGAAAAAAAACCAGGGCCACATTTCTTTAGGACTGCCACTTGGTAAAAGCTACAAACTGTATTTCCGTGTCCTGGTTCTTAGTACAGTTTCCTAGGTTATGTTTGAGGGGGAAAAAACTTTCTATAGGAATTAAGGTAAATGAATTTAGTAATTATAGCATTAGATATGTAGAGGAGCCTGGTTCGGTATACACACAAATGGTAGAGGCACATCTGTAGCACAGAGTAGATTCTGTTACATGAGCAGCCTGTGTCTACATCGCTACAGGCGAAAGGCCTTTACGAGAAACCCTGATCTGCATTCCTCGTAGACGTGTGCTGTAGCCTGGCCTTGGACAACATTTGCAAAGGCAAGAAGATCCTTATGGAGGGAAAAAAAAAAAAGTTTCTCTGAAGGTTAAGGAAAGCGGTGCAAGGGTGTGGGCAGAAAGTACCTTTGGCAGCAGAATCTGGAGACGAGTCCCAGCACTGCACCTAACACACAATCAGACACTTTCAGGCGGGTCACTCGCAGCCGCAGCTTCCTCCCTGGTAAACTAGGAAGACTTGTCCTGACCCTCCATCGCATAGGGTGTGAAATGTGTTAAGAAGTATGGGAGGTAGAAAAAGCTCATGTTCCATTGTCCCAGAAACAGTTCAGAAGAGGTTTGGGTTTTTCCAGTTTGGGTTTTAGTTTTACGTACTGCACACTGTCTGCTTCCTACCCTAGCTTTCCTGTGTCTACCCTTGACCCTCAAACAGCTGCTTTCCTTCACCTGTTCTCTTTTTCCTTCCCACGTTTGCTCCCTTATGCTTGCTTTTCAAGATCAAAAGCTGTTGTCCATGTCGTCGTCTTCAACTCAAGGCTATTCTGGCTGCTCTCACCCTATAGTAAGTCCTCACTTAAGGTCATTGATAGGTTCTTGAAAATACAGTAATAAAACCAATTTTACCATAACCTAATTGATATAAACAAGAGTTAAGTTCCTACAGCATCTCATCAGTGTTATGACAAAACGATGTTATTCCAGGACCTTCTATAATGTCTTTCCCACATGCTGCCTGGTAAGCCATGGCCCCCTATGAGGAAGCAACAAGGAAAGCTTGAAACCAAACAAAGTAGGCTGCAAGAAGGGTCATTACCCAAGAAAGAGGTGTGGAAACTCTGTTTCATTACCCAAGAAGGATAGGTAACTACAGATAGGGCCCATTTCAGGTGTGTTGGGTGTGGTGCTTTTGCCTTACTGAGAAGGCGCTGCTCAATTAGCTCAAGTGAAAAAGAGTAGGATTCCAAGTGATCCCAAAGTGCAGAGAATACTGACATAACTTATCGTGGGATGTGTTGGCAGCGGGGTCCTGGGGTCAACTCAGACAACCACAAAATGCTGGCCCTGAAAGAAGTCTTAAAAAATATATAGTCAAGCCCTGGCTGGTATGGCTCAGTGGACTGAGCACTGGCCTGTGAACCAAATGGTCATCAGTTCAGTTCCCAGTCAGGGCACATGCCTGGGTTTCGGGCTAGGTGCCCAGTAGGGGGTGCATGAGAGGCAACTACACATTGATGTTTCTCTTTCTCCCTCCCTTCCCCTCTCCAAAAATAATTTTTTTTAAATCTTAAAAAAAAAAAGACCCAAGCAGATATGAAGGTTGCATTAAGTGAAATAAAGAAAAATCCATAGGGAAACACAGTGGAGATGAAGCTGAGATTCAAATCAATGGTTTGGAACACAAGCAAGAAAAAAAAATTTAATTAGAACAGCAAGAAGAAAAATATTTTTAAAAATAAGGATAGTATAAGGAGACTCAGACATCTCCAAACATGCCAACATCCGAATCAGGGATGCAAGAAGAAGAGGAAGAGCAAGAAAATAAAAACTAATTTGAAAAAATAATGAAAGAAAACTTCCTTGATTTGGTGAAGGAAATAGACATACAAGGCCAGGAAGCCCAAACAAGTGGGACCCAAAGAGGACCACACCAACACACATCATAATTAAAATGCCAAAGGTTAAAGATAAAGAGAGAATCTTAAAAGCTGCAAGAGGAAAGTGGAGAGTTAAAGATAATTTACAGGCAAGAAGGGACTGGCAAGAAGTATTCAGAGTGATGAAAAGCTAGGACCTACCACTTTGATTACTCTATCCAACAAAGCTATCATTCAGAATGGAAGGGCAGATAAAGTGCTTCCCAGACAAGGTAAAGCTAAAGGAGTTCATCATCACCAAGCCATTATTATATGAAACATTAAAGGGACTTATCTAAGAAAAAGAAGTTCAAAACTATGAACATTAAAATAGTAATAAATGCACAACTATCAACAATCAAATCTAAAAAACAAACTAAGCAAACAAGCAGAACAGGAACAGAATCATAGATATGGAGATAATTTGGAGGGTTATCAGCTGGGAAGGGTGAGGATGGGGGAAAAGTTGCAGGGATGAAGAAGCATAATTGGTAGGTAAAAAAAATAGAGGGATATTCAGAACAGTATAGGAAATGGAGAAGCCAAAGAACGTATATGCATGACCCATGGACATGAACTAGGGGGGTGGATCACAGGAGGCAGTGGGGTGTAGCAGGCAGAGGGGCTCAAAGAGGGAAGAATTGGGACAACTGTAATAGCACAATCAATAAAATATATTTTTAAAAACATATAGTCAAGTAGTTTCTAAGACAGACAAATCACAAGAACCCAGAGAGCTTTTTGTTAAACTAAAAAAATATGTGACAAAGGGCATACCACAAAATGTAAATCTTGCTCCCATTCCATTTCCCAAAAATAACACCCATCTATAATTTATGTATCCTTCCAAAAATGTTACATACAACTACATCTACAGCCAAAAACAAGAACTACTAGGACCACTCTCTTAGGCCTACTTTGCATCTTGCTTTTTCAAACACAATACAATACAGGCATTTTCCAAACGTTGGGAATATTATAATCAGGATTCTTTGGTTGCAAGCAACAGAAACCGATCTGCTTAACTAGCATAAATGAGTTTTATAGGATGGAAAAGGATTGAAGGGAAGTTTGAAAAAACACCAGGCTTGAGGAGAGGAACAAGGAAATTCCAGATCTTCCTCATAGATGGAAATTCTTAAAAGTCTTGCCCCGCCCTGGCTGGCGTAGCTCAGTGGATTGAGCGCAGGCTGCAAACCAAAGTGTCACAGGTTCGATTCCCAGTCAGGGCACATGCCTGGGTTGTAGGCCATGACCCCCAGCAACCACACAATGATGTCTCTCTCTCTCTCTCTCTCCCTCCCTTCCCTCTTTAAAAATAAATAAAATCTTTTTTTAAAAAAGTCTTGCCCCAAACCTACATTTCTTCTGTCATTATTTCTCAAAATTCAAAACCAAAGGAGGAAAGTTTAGGGTCTTGTGCCCTTCCCACTGGGCAGGGAGAAAGACTGAAACAGACCTCCCAGAGATACTTTCAACTTCTGTATGGAGGGCAAGCCTATGGATTTGGTACTCCACTCCCACAAGAATGTACATGAAGGACAGACCTGTGCACAAGAGACTGTTAGAAAATGGGAATGGATGTCAGCAGGCCAAACATGAAAAACATCTACCGCTGAGACTTTGGGACTTAAAGACCTACCTCACTGCATACAGTTGCACAGCCTTCCACAATTTCATCATTCCCTAATGACGGACAACTGAAGTGGTCAAGAGAACAGAGGTCCTGAGGACAAGCTAAAAAGAGTAAGATTCTCGAGGCTGCAAATGCCCATGCCACATTCTCATTCAGTAACATCACTTTGAAAAAAAAAAACGAAAACCAAAACCTGTACCTCACCTACTGTTTGAGCACATGGCAAAAGCCGAGTAAACATGTTCAGCCAGTGAACAATTTCTGGTTGAAAAGGGCTCCACCCCTTTTCTCTGACGAGTCTGGTGGAACAGTGGCTTGGGCACCGAGAAGTATGCTCGCAGCACCACCCTCCGGCATTGGAAAACCTTTCCTGAATCCCGGCCCCAGGTCTTTGCAGCCAGGGATATTGTTGAAATCCCCAAAATGTCTCCTCTTCCAAGTATGTCAATACCACAGAACCTACGTTTTATCTGTAGACAGGGGAAATTACAAAATATTGACTTATTTCTCTTCCTTGTTCATTGTCTAAAGGATGTTTTACACTTTGGTGACCCTCCTGGTTCTGGCTCTTTACAGAGATACGTGGTGAGACTGGAGTGAGAGTAAGCCTCCCATCAGTCTATGACCCTGAAGCCTGTATTGTCCTTGACATTTATTCAGCAGGTACTGAGATCAGAGCAGGGCACTATCTTTCTGGCTGCACTAGTTACATAATACATACCAATGTGATGCCCCTATGAGTGCCCATTGTTCTGACAGGTGCTGTAGAAGATTCAGAGAATTAAAAGACAAGTTCCCTGCCTTCAGAGCACTCAATCTAATTGGGGGACAAAATAAGCCAAATAGTACAGGATATATTCTGTTGTAATTAAGTGCTGACTGTCATATAATACCATTACTTTAGACCCTTAGGATAAATATACTGTGCCAGAGACTGCGCAATGCCTGGACACATTTTTGTCACAGCTGGCGTGGGGGTGCTACTGGCTTATAGTGGGTAGAAGCTTGGGAAGCTGCTAAACATCCAACAGTGCACAGGACAGCCCCCAGGACAAAGAATTACCTGGCCCAAAATGCCGGTCGTGCTGAGATTAAGATGAAGATACCCCTTAGGACCAGGGATGGGCAAGGCAGGTATGGCCTCCACCTTTCTAGTATCTTGGGGGGGAAATATAAAAAATATAGTAAAGTGCTGAAGGAATCCAGAGAAAGGGACTACTCGAAACTTGCTTGCCAAAATCTGGTCTATAGACCCGAAGCCCCCATCACTTTAAAGCATGTTAAAAACGCCAACTATCTTCTCGAATCCCCCACCCCTTCCTGAATAAAAACCCGCATTTTACAAGATCCTCAGTGGCACCTATGCACATTGATGCTCGACACGCGATGCTCTGGAGGTTTTCAGAAAAGACAGAATTTGAGTTATTTTTCGTTGCTTTATGAAGACCGAGAAAGAAGGAAGCCTATTCCAGGTGGTAGGTGGGAATGTTCTGAGATGACAAGAATGAATTTCTAGTTTTCGGCCCGGCACTGATAACTAGCAAACTGTTGACTGCTTACCGTCAGACTTTGCGCTAAGTGCTGTATGTGAAGTAGCTCATATAACCCTCGTGATGATTTTAGGTAAAATCCATTACTACACCCATTTTATGGATAGAGGAAACTAAGATACAGATAAAGGGCTCACTGATGGAGCTGGGCAGGCAGAATCAGATCTTCACTTCACCATCATCCTAAGTCGTCCACAACACCTCCGCCCACACGTGAGAGCCAAACCCGCAGGCCCCGGCTCCGCCCCGCTGCAGCCAGCGAGAAGGCGAAGGTAGCCAAAGCTGCGGGTCTTCTCTCCAGCAGTCGCGCAGCTCAGCGGAAGCCGGAGAGCAGAGCCCACCCTCCACCAGATGTCGTGCATTGTGGGAAGCTTTTCATTGTTTCCAGTCCAGCCGCCAGCAGGAGAATATAACTTAAATGAAAAGGGCTGGATGTTGAAGATTTCTGGGCTCTATAACACTTGGAAGCAGTGTGAAGAAAGCTTTCGCAACTCTTAGCAGGAGTCGGACTTAACAAGACCTCAGCGGTTTGCGCAGATAACTGGGTGCTTGTGATCCGGGTAGTGAGCTAGAAGAGACGCCTCTATGGTCAAGTAAACATAGAGTGGTTCCTCTCCTCCCCACGTGGTCGAACTGCGCCTGCGCAGTAGCCGCAGCGTTGCGAAGATGGCGGAGGGAGAGTGAGTATTTGGGACTTGGATCGCTGGCGTGGGTCATTGAACATCCAGTGCCATCCATGATGTTTAATTTCTCGATGGCGAAAAACGAGGATATTTGTGGGCTGAAGGGAGAGAATAGAAAGGGCTCCAGATTACAGAGGGTGGGGAGTGAAGGGTGAGGACCCGTAGGGTTGGGGGAGGCGGGACGGATGGAGGGCGCCGTCGTCAAATTCGGGTTACATAGAGGGGTGAAGGTTGACTTCCAGGGAGAGTGCCGGAGTTGTGTTCACCCAGCCTGACTTTGGTATTCCCGCTGCAGATGGGTCTACACCCCCCTCCCCTATCCCCTATGCCCACAGCGTTGTAGTAGGGTGTCATTGTTGCTAGTGTTTATAAAAGGCTGTGTCAGTAAAAACTGCGTTGACGTTACGACGAACAGTGACTGAAAGGTTCAAGACAGTAATCTTTCCCGAAGCCTAGGAAATGGTTTGGAAATCCACTGAAGATTCGCTTCCTAAATATTGTCACGTTCTCAATTTTCTGTGTCAGGCAAAGAAAAAAGATCCCTTTGGTTCCAGAAAATCTCCTGAAAAAGAGGAAGGCTTATCAGGCCCTCAAAGCCACCCAGGCAAAGCAGGCACTTTTGGAAAAGAAGGAGGTAATGGTGGGGGACCAGGAGGATGGAATTAGAATTTCTATTTGGTGATTTTTGTCCAACTAAATTTACTATCCCTTCCCACCCACCCACCCGCATCAGTTTGATTGTACAGGTGCATGTCTTCATTTAGCAAATATTCATCAAACACTTCTTTTGGGCAAAGTACTGGAGTAGTTTGTTATGGAAAATGTGGAGTGGAGCCTGTGCCATCCGGGTTCATACCAAGTGATGTGAGAGATCAGGCATGTGTACCTGGAAGAAAACATGGTTTTATAAATGTGCCAGGTTTGCTATTTGCTAAATGTTTTTGGATAAATGTATATTTTGGAGGTAGGGAACAAAACAGACTCCTGCTTCTTTTGTACTTTATGGTGCTTCAAGGTTGGGTTCCATGAAGGTTTGTTGGTAAAATTGCCTACCAGCATGTGAACCAATGTGTTTGTTTATCAGAGACCTTTCCTAGTAGTTGCTACATTTTCCCAACTACACCCTTACTTGAGTGTCTGACTTTTCCTCTGGGTAAGAATGAAGGAGTTTGTGGGCTCCCCTTCTCGAAACATGGGGGAAATGAGCTCTGTAACTAGACCAACGAATTACTGTTGTGGAAGTGGAGACGATCAGAGACACAAAGTGGTGGTGATGGTCTGCCTTCTCTGTAGCAGAGGAAAGGAAAAGATATCAAGTTTAAGCGACTGGAATGGTTCCTCCATGATGCCTGGCGGCAGCAGCGTGACAAGGTACGCCTCCGACGCCTGGAAGTGAAACCTCACGGTTTGGAAGTGCCAGATGAACACTCCTTGGCCTTCGTTGTGCGCATCCAAAGGTAGGTGACTGGGCAAGCGATCAACTCAGCTTTAGACCCTTGCTAAGGGGACAAGATAATAGGCCTTAAGCCACTGAGGCAGGTTGTGCTAGGAGTTCAGGGCTGAGCACAGCATAGGTTTTGCCTCGGAGGGTAAACAGACTGATCTGACTCTTCTAAAGCAGGAACTTACAGCTGAGGCCTGCAGACATGTAAGGAGCTCACCAGTGTCCAGGAAAGGCTTTCCAGCATAGATGCACAAGGTCCTGACATGGGGGATCGAGGCGTCTTTCTAGGAGCAGAACCGCAGTGCAGTGAATAGAGCATATGCAGTGCCAGGAAGAGTGAAGTGAGGACTTTCCACACACTCATTGGCGTTTTCCTTGCCCTCTCCCACCTGCACATACAACTCCGCCTCTTCCTGCTTCCCTGCCCAGTCACCCAGACTGGAGATCTGGGAGTTCTAACTCCTTACCTCTGAGCCCTCCCTCCTCCCACTGCCCACAGTCTTCCCTGGATTATCGCATCATCTCTGGTTTCCCTGCCTCTGGTGTCACACTCTGAGATCTGTCCTCTGTGCTCAAAAAGAAATCTGATCTTGTCTTCTTTACTTAAAGTTCTCTAGAGCTTTCACTGACCACAGAAGCAAGTCCAGCTTCCTTAGCTCAACGTACACAGTCCTGCATCCTCCACCCGGACACACCACAGGTTCAGGGACGACTTCTGCATTCCCACAGTAGCTAGTGCCTCAGGCATTGCTCCACATTGTGTGGAAACGATCTGCTTATGTAGCTGCCTGCTGTTCGGCTGAACTCTAAGGCACAGTGTGTCTTTCTCTCTGGGTGTCCGGTAGTGGCATGTGTTTCCTAGGTGCCTGCTGGGCTGACATTAACGGCCAGAGCCTGACTTCCTCTGCTGTTCATTTCAGAGTTAATGGAGTGAGTTTAACGGTGCAGAGGACCATTGCAAGGCTTCGCCTGAAGAAGATTTTCAGTGGTGTCTTTGTCCAAGTGACCCCCCGAACCATAAAAACGCTGCGCGTAGTGGAACCTTATGTGACCTGGGGGTGAGTGAGGCTCTTTTTGTGCGTGGGTTCACATTAGATTGTACTTGGGCGTGTGGAGAACGTTAGGATGCACAGGGTAGGTAACTGTCCTCCCAGGCTCTTGTTGCTGGGTTGAAAGAACATTTCGCTGTGACCGCAGTCACCAGAAATAGTATGGCCAGCCATGAGAACCTTGGAATATGGGGCAGGTAGAGCGGGAGGTGCCCATGCTGCTGGTAATGTGCCGCGAACAGGACCATGGCGGGGCTTGTTCCTGTGGAGGCCCAGGCTGAATAAGACAGGTGGAGCGGATACTAATTCTTGGGGTCTCGAGGGAGAACTGGGAGCAGTGCTTGTGTAAGAGTAGCACTCCTGCAAATATTAAAACCTAACAAACGCATGGATTTCATTTTAAATTCTTGTACCATCTTGAGTAGAGGGTCACCTGAGGCCAAAGTCCTAGACCACAGGTGGCAAACACAAGCCCCGGAGGCTGAATCCAGCCCTCCACCTTGTTTTATCTGGCCCGGCACCTTGTTTCTACCTGGCAGCAGCACCAAGCTTTCACTTAACTGTTAAAGTGTAGTTATATGTATACAGTCCTAAAATTACATTCTTTCCTTTGAAGGCAGCCGTGAGGCTGATATGGCCCTCGGTGAAAATGAGTTTGACACCCCTGTCCTAGACTGTATCAGCCAGGACTTATCTTTGCCTGGGAAATGAAATTTTTGCCTGGTAACATTTATGTTTATAAATTTTAATTTCTAATTACACAATTAGGGCCACTGTATTTTTTTACCCTCTTAACTGTTCCCTAGCATCCCAGCTACAGCGAGGTTGCAGGACACTCCGTGTGAAGGGAGCGGTGGTTGGGAGAACCTCTCCTCAGCCAGGCTGCAGGACTGAGTGGCCAGTGTAATGCAGTGTGCCAGGGGATGGTTAAGGCTGTACTTTTTTCTGCCTTGAATAGTTTTCCAAATCTGAAGTCTGTCCGGGAACTCATCCTGAAACGTGGACAAGCCAAGATCAAGAATAAAATCATCCCTTTGACAGACAACACAGTAATTGAGGAGCACCTGGGTAAGTGTTGCATCTTACGGGTCAGTTTTGGCAAAAAGCAAGGATCTTTGGTGGTGCTGGTGTGGGGTCCAGGTTATATTCTTTCTTTTCTTTTTTTTTTTTTAAGATTTTATTTCCTTTTAGAGAGAGGGGAAGGGAGGGAGGATGAGGGAGAGAAACTCATCAATGTATGAGAGATACATCACACACCCCCTACTGGGGACCTGGCCCAAAAACCCAGGCATGTGTCCTGACTGGGAATCGAACAGGCAACATTTTGGTTCTCAGGCTGGCACTCAGTCCACTGAGCCACACTAGCTAACACCAGGTTACATTCTTCTTGAGATCCCAAGAATCTGCCAGAGTGCCCAGCTCTGACGTAGGAGAGCATCTTGGGATATCCTGGGGAAATGTTGAATAAAGGAAACCACCCTTTTGTTTCTTAGGGAAGTTTGGTGTCATTTGCTTGGAAGACCTCATTCATGAAATTGCCTTTCCGGGGAAGAACTTCCAGGCAATCTCAGAGTTCTTGTGCCCTTTCCAGCTCTCAGTGGCCCGTCACGCCACCAAGAATAGAGTAGGCTTCCTCAAGGAGATGGGCTTACCTGGCTATCGAGGTGAACGCATCAATCAGCTCATCCGACAGCTGAACTAAACCCAGGTGAGGTGGGGCTGCAGACCACCCTCAGGCTGACTTTTTATGGGCCATGTCTTGTCACTTAAATTATTTTTGGACTTACCAGTGTTTGAGAGAAACTGGCACTAGGGGGAGAGAGGAGGAGGGTTTTACAAGTCTGATGGAGGGAGACATGCTTAAAGGGTGAATGCCTGCTTAGGACATGGTTGTGGGTATCCCAAGAATTACAGGATAGAAAATACCGAGTAACCAAAAAAATGTATGTATTGGGGAGCAAGTAATATTACAATGAATTTTTTAAAGGATTTGAAGATCTAAACAATCTATTTTGTCGAAAGAAACTTAAATCTTTGAAATTGGTCTTTATTGTGATTACTACTATTAGGTGCCAGGTCACAGTTTGTAGTAACAAAACTGTGTTTTTCTTCCTCCCAGAATATCTGAAAGCACAATGCCTTGGAAGCGTGTGTTTTTGTTTTTTGGAATTACCAGTATCTTCAAAGAAGATTATTTTCTGCTGTATCTTCAGAAGCTGGAGGGGAGGAGTCAGGGAAAAGATGGTGGTGTTCATAGCAGGCACTTCTTATCACAGTCCCATTCCAAAGGAAAAGTCCAGTGTGTTTTCCACGTTCGCTACTGCTACCACCCTGAAGGCAGCAAAGGACTCATGCCGTGCAAGAGGGGTCCTGCTTTGTCCCATCTTCTCTCTAGGGGCTTAATGGTGATGAACAGATACCCAAGCATGAATGCCAAGCCCAGAGCCGTACTTGAACCTGAGGGTTCCTAAGGCTTTGTTTTGGAAAGAATTTGAAATACATTTTAGAAGAGCACAAAAACAGTGCTCAGTTGTTTCTGTTGTGAGTCCCTGTTCCAACTTTTCAGTGACGGCTTTGTGAGCTCGCAAGCTTGGCTGGCTCTAAATGTATCTGGTGGCTTCCTTATTGTAGCGCAGGATTTTAGACTCTTCTTGGATCTATGAGAAGGGAAGGACCATTTACCCAGGAAAACATGCATACACTCCAGTTTTTGCTTGGAAGTTTGGGGTGCTCATAGACTCTTGGGGGCCCATGCACCCACCTCACGTGAGAGAGCCCTGCACTGTCAGGATTGGTCACCCAGGCCCTAACTTTCACTCATCTGGTCCCATGTCCCGTGGAAGAGCAAAGCTTCTTCCCTTCAAGCTGATGGCAGTTTTCTGTTAATAAAGTGGTAGAGTGTAGGCACCTGTACCATCTTTAACTCAGGGAGTTGCCCACCTTTCATTTCTGCTGTGCTTTAGGATGGTGGTGTCTGGTTTCTATGATGATGAGTCCTCTCCTTAAAAACCCAAATCATGGCAAGGGGTGGGGTTGGAGGTGGCAGAGGGTATAGGAATAAACAATAATGGAAAAGACAAATCACAGGAAAAGTTTGGGAATAAATATATTTTTGACAATCATGTTTGCATTTTATACAATTAGTTTGGCATTTTTATGTCAGGAGGCAATTCAATAAAATCGCCTAAAAAAACAACATGAAAGAATGAAGCATTTTCCTGGTTTGGCATGGATAACATTGGACTGTTTGGTCTTTCAGGCCCTGCTAGAGCTTGTGTAGCCCCTTCTCTTGCATACCCTGGACTCCAGGACTGCTTGCTCTCCTGCTGGTAATGGTGTAGACCAGCACTGGAACACGAGGGCTTCTGGGGCCTCACGCTGGGAAACGGAGTCTGGTTCTGCTTGTGTTACCATCAGTGCCCACCCCTGAGTCTTCCCTCTCCTGTCAGCCTCAACCTGACAAGCAGTCGGTGAAGGTGTGCCAGGCCAGGTTAAAGACGAAAACTGGCTTAGCTGTTGTGTTGCCTGGTCCATTAAGATCAGCTTTGCCACAGTTCTGGTCCATGGGGTCCTCAAACATAGCTGTGAGATAGCAGTACAATGCCTTAAAATGTGCTGGGTTAATAGGTATATTGGGTTGGTTGGCTCAGGAGTTAATTTGCCTCAAATGGATGTTACTCTTAACTGTAAAACATTGTGCAATCAGGTGAAAGTAATGGGTGGGAAAAGAGCAATCGTGTGGGAGCCCACAGTTTATATCCCAGATTTTATACTAAACGCAGGAATAATGTTTCCACTAAAGTGGGGATAATATGGTCTAGCCAGCCCATCTGCCTCCCAAGGCTGTTAAAAGGATTAAGCAAACTAATAGTTTTAACTTAGAATTATAAGAGGTTTGTATCTATGGTGTAACATGGTGTGCCATTCCCTGAACAAGTGGGACTACCTTTGTTTCTGGGAAAAGTGAAGGAACAGTCTGTGCGGGGAGCCACAAGGCCCACTGTCTTACCCACCTGGTGCTCAGAGCCAGGGGGTTCTAGGGATTTTGCTGACTGGCTATTCTGTAATGCTTTGGGATATCATTTGTTGGTGTATTTGTTAAGTCATTCTGGAGAATGGCTGTCTAAAACCAAAATGCCACTTGAATCACAAATTCACTTCCACAACCACCAGAATAAATGAAGCCCGAAATAAACACATTCTCAGTATTTCTAAGAAGTTGTTTCCAGTGAGTGAGACCCCAATGTGTCCTAAGTTGCATTTTTTTTTTTTAATGAAAACACATCTATGCATCGCAGATAGCATGAGGTTTGTTTCGATTACATTTAAGGGCTGAAACAGGGTTTTTAAAAAATTTAATTAGTATAATGGTACGGAAATACGAATGCAGAAAACACCGGTGGCGCTCCCAGGAGGCTTTAAAGTCCGGCTGAGATGGTCAGGACGAAAGCACAAAAGAGGAGTAACTGGTCAGCACTCAGACTTCATTTCAGTACGAGTTTATGCGGGGCAGTCCCACCTTCCGGACCTCAGGGCTGCAAAGGATCTCGAGCCTCGAGAACCCACCGCTTGACATTCAGGAAGGCTTAGTCATTGCGTGCGCGGAGCCGGCTCCTCCGGGGTCTTCCTCTCTCCAAACCTGGGGGTCCGCGGTGCCTGTGGACCGGGTCAAGGGTGGCGGCGCGGGGCCCTGGGCCGAGCCAGCGGCCTCCCAGGGCTTGGGCCTCCGCGGGAGCTGGGACGCCGTGGGTTCACCCTGGGTCACCGGGATATGGCGCCTTCTCAGGCCTGGGAGCTCCTGGCCCTGCTGGACCAGCTGCAGGAGCTGCGCCAGGGTCACCGAGGCTGCGGCTGGCTTCGCGGGCATGGGAGCTTGGCCCGACCAGCTAGGGTTGGCAGACGAGTCCATGTAGGTGAGCGCAGCTGATGGGCGTGCGGGAGGCAAACATAATCCGGAAGTATGGGTGCAACCACCATGGGAGGGGGTCACAGGCCATACCAAACTGGACCAGATAGGGGAGCAATTGAGAACCGTGACTGGCTCTGTGCTGAGACGCTTGACAACACACAGAGTTAATCCACCGAGACTCCAAAGTGAAAGGCTTAAGAGGAAACTGGAAGGCTTGCACAGAACTGAACGTGCATGTGGACAGGCTGATGCAGGTCAAAAGACCAACGTTTGCTCACGTTCTTACTTTCTGGCACACACGGAAGTGCGCACGCACAGGGACACCGATATAGACACGAGGTGAGGGATAATCTCCATCTCTGCCTCCTTAGCTTCCGACGGAAAGTAGCCGCGGAGCCATCTCCAGGGGCCTGCCTCAAGAGAACTGGGAACGAGTGACACCACTGCGGAGCCAGGCCACTCCCTGCACATTTCCCGCAGTCAGCGTTCATCCCGCCCTGACTGGGGTGTCCCAGTTGGCTGGGCAAAGCAAAGGGTCGCCGGTTGATTCCCGGTCTGGGCACAGACCTAGGTTGCGGTTGGTCCCTGTTCGGAGCACGTGTGGGAGGCGACCAGTCCATGTTTCTCTCCTTCTCTTTTCCCCTCCCTTTCCCAAGTAAAGAAACTTTTTTTTTAATTTTCCTTTTTTTTTTTTTTTAAGACTCATTTCCAAAGAGAATGAGAAAAGATAAAGCCAGACCAGGTGTGCTGCAGTCTGTGCCAATAACTCTCAGGTTTCTATGTTTATTGAAAGCTCTCCTGATCTAGCCTTAATAACAAATCAAAGTGTAATTACTATTAATAGGATAGACTAGCACCACGTGTCACGTGATATGCACTGAGAAGGACACTACAGATGTAAGAATACTACATCTCTTCTGCTGAATTCCTGCCAAAATGTTCACCCTGACTCTAGTCCCGAAGAAATGAACAAATGGGAGTGACAGACATCCTACAGAATGACTGGCCTGGACACTTGATAAATGTTAAAGTCGTGGGAGATTATTCTGGATCATCTAGGTGGGCAAATACCATTACAATGGTCCCTAGAAGAAGGACGAAGGAGGGCTAGAGTCAGGGAAGCAGATGCGAAGATGGAAACAGAGGCAGAGGGACTGAAGACGCAGGCTGCCGGCTTTGAAGACTGGGGAAGGAGCCACAACCCAGGGAATACAAGAAGCATCTAGAAAGCAAGAATTCAGCCCTGACAAGAACTTGATTTTAGCCCAGTGAAACCCATTTCAGACTTTTGACCTCCATATTGTGAGATGACAAATGTGTGGGGGTTTTTATGTGAATACCATAAAAAGGAAAGAAAAAAGAAAAGACTGAGGAACTGTCAGATTAGAGATGGGAAAAGTGCAAAGTGTGATCCTGGGTTGGATCCAAGATGGGGGGAAAATCAGTTATAAAGGACATTTTACCCTTGGGAAAGTTTGAATATGATTCCATATACTAGATGATAGTGTTACAGTGGTCCCACCTTATCTGCAGACTATACATTCCAAGACCTCTGGTGGATGCGTGAAACCATGGATACCTATACTCTGAATGCTACATATACTATGTTTAACCTCATAACTACACACATACTTTTGATAAAGTTTAATTTCTAAATTAATCACAGTAAGAGAGTAATAATAATAACTCATAATAAATAGAACAATTACAACAATATGCTGTAATAAAAGTTACGTGAATGTGGTCTCTCCTCATCTGATAACCCATCTCATAACTGAGACGGCTACTAAGTGGCTCCCAGGCAGGGAGCGTATACAGCGTGGAGATGCTGGACAAAGGGAGGGTTCATGTCCCGGGTGGAGGGGCTCGAGATGGCCCAAGATTTTATCACAGCTACAGCTTGTGATTTAATACTTATGAATTGTTTATTTATGGAAATTTCCATTTCATATTTTCAGACCATGGTTGACCTTCAGCAACTGAAACCATAGAAAATGAAGAAGGGGGAGGTGTACTGTATAGAGATACTGAATTTCTTTTTTTTTTTTTCATTTTTATTTATTGATTTTAGAGAGAGTCAGAGAGAGGGATCAACTTTATTGTTCTATGTAAGCACTCATTGGTTGATTCTTGTATGTGCCTTGAGCGGGGGATTGAACCTGCAACCTTGGGTATGGGGAACAATGCTCTAACCAAATGAGCTACCCAGCTGGGGCAATGCTAAGTTTCCTGAGCGCAGCATTTGTGCTTTAGTTATGTAGAAGGATGACTTTGTTCATACATGATACATGCTGGATGATTTACGGTTGGAGTGTCATGATGAGACTGAGAGACAGTGAGAGCAAAATGTGGTAAAATTGCTAAGAATTAGTGAATCTAAGTGGTTTGAAACTTCTCAAAATAAAAAGCTGGGCTGGGAGGGGGGCCTTCAGAAGCCAACCCAGAGGACACTGACTATGCCAAGCGCTCTATAATAAAGGATTTGACTGGGCTTTGTCCCTCACTCCTGGGAGGAAGACTAAACCCTTGGAATTTCCCAAGCATTAGGAGCGATATTTATGGTGGGCCCTGATATTTTAAGCCATCAAGGTGATTCATGGTGGCCTCTAAGTAGCTTCAGTCCTGAAGTTGGCCATGCCGGGAAAACCAGCCATGTGGCTAGGGGGTGGGGGCTCTGAGCCATGAGAGGTCTAGGAAGAAGGGGGGCCTGGGGATTGAGTTTAGTCTCCAGCCACTAATTTAATCAGCCCTGCCTACATAATGAGACTCCAATAACAACTCTGAACACAAAGCTTAGTAGAACTTCCTATAGGTGATCACATTGATGTGTCAGGGTGGTGACATGTCCTGATTTCGTGAGGAGAAGGCACAGAAGTTGTGCGTTCGGGACCCTCCCAGACCTTGCCCTATACACCTCTTCATTCATCTTGTCCTGCTGATTCATGTCCTCTCTAATAAAATTAATCATAAGAATGACACTTTCCTGAGTTCTGTGAGTTGTCCTAGTAAATTATTGAACCTGAAGGGGGTTGTGGGACTCCCCAATTTTTTACCCAGTCAATCAGAATTGCCTGTGCCTGGGGACCCCTTTGAACTCACAGCTGGCATCTGAAGTAAGAGCAGGCTTGTTGGGGACCATGCCCTTTACCTTGCGGGGTCTGTGCTAGCTCTAGGTGGTTAGCACTAGAATTCAAGTGCAGTGCACCAGTGAGGGTTTTAAAAGAACACTGAATGAGGAGCTCATCCTTCTCTCTGTGGCCTGCATCAGTTTCCTGGGCAATCTCCTG